CTGCTTTTTTCTGCCTCAGTAGTTTTTGGCTGCAGCTTTTAAACTACCAAAACGTTGGCAGAAGAGGAAATAAGAAAAAGTGGAAAATTGATAGCCTGTCGACAGGAAAGTAAGGGCTTGAGAAAGAAGGGTCTCAGGCTCTTTGAACTCTTCCTTTTTTTGGGGAGACCTTTTTGCTATAGGGTGTGTGCACTCGCCAGACAGACAGAGAGAGACAGAGAGACAGAAAGCGAGAAATCACCCCTTGGGGGGATGGCCGCAATCCCTTCTCCTCCGTTCTCCTCTCAGGATCTTGGGCACACACGTACATGTGCCCGTTGTGAGTTTAAGCCACCGGGTCCAGGACTCGAACTGCAGTTGAGTACATGGGAGTCCAGTGACATAGCCTTTGTGCCAACTGCTGTCCCGTTATACACAGTTTTTATCTTTACTAAGGGTCGACAAAGATCGTTCGTATTTACTGTGCTGTGTTGATGTGTGTACGACGTGGAATGACTCAGTCAGGCTACTTAGCATCCATCGCTTCATACGCTTTCACGTTCGTGTGTGGCGAGGATATTTAAGATCCACTCTCCTGGCGATTTTCAAACATATAATGCTTATGCTTAACTGTAGTCACCGAGCATGACCCCTCGGCCATCCCGTCTGGCCGTGGTAGCCAACAGGTCTGCTTCTACGAGGTTTTTAGGATTCTACAGAAAGCAAGGCCGGGCAGTATTTGCCTTCCTGCGCCGGGCTTTCCCCTCGCGCCGTCGTCCGAAGCCGTCTACGTAGTTGTAAGTGGCAGGATCTCCTTCCCGTGGTCAGGGCTGGACAGCACCCTGTGTAACGGCCCACTCTCCTTCACCCGTCCTGCACTGAGGAGCATGCAGGGCACTCCGTGTCTGGGCTACTGTGCAGAACGGTGCAGTGGGCGTGGGCGTGGGCGTGGGCGTGCAGGCTCCTCTTCACCACACCCACCTCACCTCCTCTGGACACGGGATGGCCAGACCACATGGAGCTCTACTCTCACTTATCGGAGCAACTCCACGCTGTTTTCCTAACGGCTGTCGACGGAGAAAATAACCAACTGTGAAATTAATAATTAATAATTACTGCGGTTTATTTCCAAGCCAACCGGAGGGAGGCCGGAGAAGAGGCATACATGCCTTTTCTCGGGGTGATCATGTACAGGGGTTCCTTTTATTTGTTTTTGAGACTGAGAGACAACATTTAGTGAAGAGATTTTCCACTGGTCTGGCCCAAAGAGGAGGGACAGGTAGAAGCGAGGGCTTGTAGGTTATAGGTGGGCTCCACAATCCTTAGGTGGTGACTGGAAGGGAAGATCTGTGTCTTGGTTAAAGAAAGGCCTAATCTACATCTCAAGGAAAAGGGAAGTTCTGTGTCTTGGGAAGAGATAAGCACAAGAATACACTGTAATGGGTTGAAATATACATGTCAAAGATACTATGCCAGGAACGGGAGGTAGGAAGAATCCTGTTAATAGAAAGTAAATGGTGTGTTAATGTTTGTGGCATGACTTCGCTGTCCCTTTTGAAAAGATTTTGGAAGAATAGGAAAAGTAGTCAGACTTCGGTCCACACGGCTATCCTAATTTACATTCCCACCAATGGTACACAAGGGTCCGTTTCTTCCCCGTCTTGACCAACACGTGAAACCCCGCTCATGTACAGACTGTAATTGTGAGGGACACCTGCCACACCAGCAGCCCCCAAGCTTACACTTTTCGAAAGCTTCTCTGGACAGAACAGAGGGTTTCCACAACTTCCTCCGAAAACAGTCTCCTCCTAGCGAACTCTCCTCCCCGTGAGCCAGTTAGCCGTCCTGGCAGAGACTGCGAGGGGCTCCCGGGACCCAGCAAGCACCTGGGACTGAGGGTGGAAAGACACGCTCCCTTCCAGCCTCCCGCCCAGAGATGTGCCGAAGATGTCAGCAATAGTGAGGTTTCACTGGGAGACTATTCTCATCACTGACAACCTCCCTAATATCCAATCACTCCCTTCACACAAGGCTGAGTCTGAAATTAATAGTACCTGGCTTCCACTCTGGGGCTTAATGGTGAGTGAATGAATAAACAAATACATAATCACATCCACTTTTGTTCCTGGTTTTGGTTTTTGCTTTTCTTTAGTGAATTTGTCCAGCCTCCCGGGGGACGCGGGGTAGGCCAGCCACAAGGTCCCCAGGAAAAGCAGCTTACTTCAGCCTCCTGGCTGTGCCATCGGCCGCCTGGAGCTTTCTCAGCCTCATCCTCTCCCTGGGCGTCATCTTCTGCACTTCAGACAGTGCCCGCAGAGTCTGCAAGTGGGCCTTTCTTTGCCTGTGAATAATAAAGATTCCTCAAATGCAACCCGACCCAAACGTGCTCAGAAAGATTAAGCAAATATTTCACAGAAACATCATCACGGGACGGAGAGTGTAAAAGCGTCTCAGGACAAGCCGTGCGCAATCTAATAAACTCGGTAGGTAATGGGCCGACCAGGGCTTGCTAATCGGCAGTATTTTCAAATTGGGTTTCCATTTAAAGACAAATGATGAACTTTGCAAACTCCTGCTCATTTCGCCGCCTGTGACTGGCTTTCACAGTGGAAGACAAATCAGCATCTTGACCACCAGGGAGTACACAGGCCAGCAGAGTGATCCGGCCGCACGGACCAGAACGCCAGCCCTGGAGTCAGGCAGGCCGGACTCACCTCCACCGCTCCCGAGCTCCGGAGCCCTGCGACACGGAGCCTCTGTGGGCTTCGGTCTTCTCATCTGTAAACAACAGGCTGCAGGGACAGGACACCTGCGTCGTGCCGCCACAGACCACGCGTTCCAAAGCCACACGCGACACTAGCTTCACTTTGTGAGCGTGTCCTCCACTCTGCGCCTCCTATAGCAGGTGCTCCCAGGGAGCATAGTGAATGGCAAAGCCTATGGCCTCTCTGGGCTTCAATGCTAGCTCCCAGTTTACACTCTATTTGCTCCTGGGCAAACTACTTCATCTCGCTATGACTATAAAAAAAAAAGAAAGAAAGAAAGAAAGAAAAAAGGCACCCACTTCATCGGTGGGTCTGCATTTAAATGTGCTAACTCTTTAAGTACCGACAGCAGAGTCGGGGATATGTTATCACTCCCAAAAATGTCAGCTGATGTTACTGCCTAAGAAGCTCTTTCTTTGACTAAAAACTATGTTTACCTTTAACATGCGTTGAAGAAAACTACAAGCACAATCTCGAAGCCATCTGTCTCCGCCTGAGCGGTCAGGGCCCAATGCTGGAAAACGCCTTTTGTATTCACCCATCTTAGGAAACACCCCAAGGCCCAGGCTGTGCCCAGCGCTGGGAGTCACAGGGCCTGCCTGGGTTTGGGTCACCCTGACAACACCCCGGGCGTGTCCTGGAGACCCCGACACGCCGAGAGCCCTGAGGACCCGCAGAGGGGGCTCGTCATCCTCACACGCGTGTGCCCTCTATCACAGGGATGCTTCTTAGAGAAGAAGAGAAACTACGATAAAACGATCACCATTCAGGAATACGCAAATCCCTATTTCATCAGACTGAACAGATCTCCTTAAACCACAGCCACAGTCCCAAAACGGCAGGGACGTTCTGAACACTCTCTCCTAATTCGAAACACCTTCCCAACGGCGGGATGGCAGCGCTGACCTGAGAACAGCCAGACAGGTTCCTGCCCAGCTACCGTGTGAAGTGGTGGCTGAAACGTCCTCAGCCGCAGGGAGGGCGCGGCAGTGACTCGGTGGGCCCTCACGGGGTCACACGCAGCGCCGCCCAGTGTACCCTGGACATGCAGACCTGCGCCCTCGTCCCGGCTGGCTGAGGCCCAGGGGGCGTGTGGCATCAGGACCTTCCCGGGAGTGCCTGTCACTCTGCCTCTCCCACTGATGGAATAATAAACTATTAATAAATAAATAAAGTTAGCCCAGTATTTAAAAAAGATCGATTATTCTTATACTGGTAGTTAAGAAGTAGAAATTCCGACCTTTCTTGAAATAATAACAAGTAACCAAAGAAAACGAGGGTATTAGGAGCTTGGCTAAAAACATGCCCCTGGTATGGTAGTATTTTACCCGGGGATCATGCGCTAAACAAAACCGGCCTCCCTGCCTGACCAGCCATGTCCCTGCCTGACCAGCCGCGTCCCTGCCCGACAGGGTCCCGGTTTGAAGGTAAGGACGGCAGCGAGTTTGGTGCGCTGAGCAGCCAGGGGCGGGGTGTGGGCGGCTGCCTCTGTGCCAGGCACTTGGGGCTCCGGTTCCCACTCCACACCCCGCACACCTCGGAGACTGCCACTCTCCGCAGGTGCTCTCGGGGCACGGAGAAAGCTCCTGCAGCAGACCTGCGGGCGGTCTTCACGAGGACGCCCAGCTGTGCCACACGCCGCCTGTGGCACTGGCCACGCTGCGGGGAGCAGCCTCGGAGCTGGCTCCCCACGCAACCGCAGCAAAGTTCTGACTGAGGCCGGAGAAGGAAGGGGGGCCGGGAAATAGCCACGGTTTTGGCAAACACACTCTGGTTTTCATACGAGAGGATACGCCTGTCGAGAAGGGAACCCGGCTTCTTGACAGTGGCCCCAGAACCCGGCCACGTCCACGCTTCACGCTAGGCAGGCAGGTGAGAGGCAGCGAAACGCCCGTCCCCTGAAGGCGGCCGCAGCTACCCCGCAGCCCTGTAAGCGGGCAGTGGTCTCCTCTCAGGACTTCAGTGTGTCACCTCCCGGGGGGAGGGCTTTCGGACACCAAGTCACTGAAGTGTCATTCTTGGCAAGACTTAAGTGAATTCTAGGGCACTCCACGCAGTCAGCTTAGCACTACCAGGTGTTTAAAGACAAACGCAGCTAACATTCACGCTTGATGGGCTTTTTAAAAACAAAGCAGCTACTTACATGGCATTAACGATATGCACGGCCTCCTTCTGACAACCGCAAGTCCTGTCTTCCAGACTCATCTCTGAGTATCTGCACATCAGGTGCTGAAAAAAAGACAGGACAAAACAAAAGCCACCAGGCGCCTTTCTGGTTTGGGGCACGGTGACCATGGCAGGAGCCCGAAGGCCCAGCGCACAGTAAGCATGTCCCTTCGCAGCGGGAACGCCAAACTACACAGTCGCTTATGCGGGGGTCCCGCAGGGCCTGCCCCAGCCCCGTCCTGCACCACTCGCTCACTCCCTCACTTCCTCGCTCCCTGCTGTGCCCTGGGCAGCCTCCCCAGCTCCAGGATGCACGAGCTGCTTCCTCAGCTGGAGGTGGGCAGTGTCCGTGCAGCCCCAGCGCCCGGATCAGGATCAGGCCAGGGGGTGCCCTTCGGGTGAAACCTCAGTGACCAGGTACGTGCTACCTTAGGGTGCACCTCACGTGGCACTCCCGGTCGGGGAAGTACAGTAACACCCTGGGTCTGGCTGACACACGCTGCCTGCGTGCTTTGAAAAGTCACACTGTACCTCACAAAGGTGTACAACTAAGTATAAGCAAGAAATTATAAAATAAAAAATGAAAAACTACCCAATTTATAAACAATTTTAAAAACAAAGTATTATTTTTAAAAACAAAATTAACGCCAAATTTGTGAAGAACACAGTATCAAAAGTTTAAAGACAAGACTCGGCCCGGAGCACACGCACTGCCACCGTTTTTGCCTCGGTGGAATCTGGGTTATGTTGGATCTTGTCTTTAAACTTTTTTTTTTTTTTTGAGAGATTTTCACTGTAGGGCGCGTGTGCTCGCCAGACAGACAGAGAGAGACATAGAGACAGAAAGCGAGAAATCACCCCCCAGGGAGGATGGTCACGCCGCAATCCCTTCTCCTCCATTCTCCTCTCGGGATCTTGGGCACGCACGCACACGCGCCCGGCGTGAGTTTTAAGCCACCGGGTCCGGGACACGAACCGCGGTCTACTACGTGGGAGTCCAGCGACATAGCCATTACGCTAACTGCTGGTTCCCTTGTCTTTAAACTTTTGATAATCTGCTGCTAAGGATCGCCAGCCCTAAGCAGGAATTTTAAAAACTGCATAAAACATGTGGTTTATCTTGATTATAGTTCTGGTGTCCCCTTAAGCTTTGCCCCAGACGACCTTCACCCTCGCCCTCACCCAGAAGACCCCCGTGGTACTCTCGTGGGCCCCTCAGTGCACATTTGCTTTTCTGTTTGTTCGTGTTTACGTGCAGGCGACAGAGCGAGCAGGAGGGCCTGGGGACGCACACGCACCCACGTGCAGCCAGGGGCCAGCGGCCGCCAGCATGGCTTCCAGCTTCAGCGCCCAGCGTGCGCCCACAGAGGCCAAGCCGGTGTGTTCTCATGCCTCTTTCACAGGAGCGCCCTGGGCCACTGGGGCCCTCTCTGCCTGCACAGCGGAGGTGCTGGAAGTGCCGGGACTTCAGCTGCCTGCCTTCCTGTCCTGCCCACCTCAAGGTCTCACCAGCTGCCCAAGCATATGTCTGCACAGGGGCCGTTCCTGTGTCCACCCCAGGGAGCACAGCCTCGCCCTCGGCCTCGTTGCTGCTGTCCTGTGCCAGGACAGTTTAAGCCACACAGCTGGCTGGGCTTCTCATCGGCTCCCGGGGCTGAAATGGCAATTCCTTCCCTCCTTGCTGATAGGCCGCTTCCCCGGCTTCTTTTCCACGACCCCGTCTGCTTTCCTCTCGGGGCCTGTGATCGCTCGTTTATCTGATGGCTTCTTCTTGGTCGTGGCTCTCACTAGCGGTCAAGCACCAGAGGACAGGAGCACACGGTTCCTTCCACGCGGAGCCCTGGGCCGGCACTCAGCTAAGGAGCATGCCATCTGTAGGGAGGCTGTGCACTTTGGACCGTGGGTGACTGTGGTCCCTCTAGAAGCTAACGTAACATTAGGGACGTGTACCTAGAGGACGCATACTGAGCCTGGGAGGCCAAAACAGCACAAACCTCCGGAAAGGAAACTTTCTGACCACCTGAAGCCGTCTCCATATCAACTTTCCCAATTTACATCAAAACAGAATAAATTCACCTGATCAGTAACAAGGGGTACTGAGAAAAGAGGAGCTGCATAATAAATGCTCAGTGAAAATCCCAGATGTAGGTTCAGGCTGAGCATCCCTAACTCACACATCTAAAATCCGAAACACTCCAAAATCCAAAACTTGGTGCACTGACATTGATACTGCAAGTGGGAGATTTCACACCTGACCTCCTGTGACAGGCCACAGTTAAAGCAGTCGGTACAAAGATACTGTATGAAATTATCTTCATGTGTATAGGACGTGTATAAAACATTAATGAATTCCATGCTTAGACTTGGGTCCCATCCCCAAGATATCTCATTATGTATATATATATGAATATTCCAAACCTGAAAAAGTCCAAAATACTTTGGGTCCCAAGCTTTTCGGATATGGGGTCCCCCAACTGTATTATTAATAGTATATTTTTGCCCTGGGAGAGATGTACAAAATATTGAAATAAGATCTGTCAATAAGAGCTTGAAGAGCAGATGTTGTGTCTAGGTGGGAAATCAGAACCCTAATTTTCCATTTCCGGTGGCACCAGGGAACCAGAGCCCACTCGCCTTCCCACTCCCTCCACTCCCAGGGAGCAGGGTCCACTCGTCTTCCCACTCCCTCCACTCCAGGGAGCCAGGGCCCACTCGCCTTCCCACTCCCTCCACTCCCAGGGAGCTGTCCACCGCCTTTGCAAACAGATCTTCCTGACTGAAATTCTATTGGCTTCTCTTGGACCTTACTCCTCCTTCCGGACTGATTCTTACGTACTGACTCCCACAGTACATCCCCAGCCAGCACGCGGACAGAAGTGCCCCTCCATCCTAAGTACCTGTAGTTGTGCGTTGATGTAAGGGACCTTTAAAATTTCCGTGGCAGACGGCCTCAGGGAAGGACTCTTGTTGAGCATGCTGCAAGGGTCAGAGGGAGCCGGCTTTCCAGTGCGCCCGGAGCACTGCGCCCCCTGCTGCACGTCTCTATACCTCTCCATGATGGCGTTCAGTTCTCGCGGGTACCGCTCCGGGAGAGACGGCGTGTCACCCTCCATGATTTTTAAAACAATGGACAAGAAACTGGACCCAGTGAACGCTTGAGTCAAGCAGCACATCTCGAACAGAACGCATGCCAGTGACCTGGGGACGAAGCCAAGGAGTCCAGTAAGGACAGAGGCCCTAGCTGCCGTCTGCCGTCAATCCTCAGGGGTGTTGGGCTCAGTCTGCGGGCCACGCACTTCTGGTGTCAGTTTGAAAACTGCAGTTCCGGTCTTCTGTTTAAATAGAAACAACACAAACAAATGAACGGAACAGAGCGAAGCACGCCGGTAAATGAATGGCCACTTCCTGTCCAAGGAGAACCGACAAACCAACAGTGAGTTCACTCGCACACAGTAAGCGTCCCGAGTATTTCATCAACGGAGTCGAGAATATTTTTTGAGAGGTTTTTGCTATAGGGTGCGTGCGCTCGCCAGAGAGAGAGAGAGACAGAGAGACAGAAAGCGAGAAATCACCCCCCAGGGGGGATGGCCACGCCGCAATCCCTTCGCCTCCATTCTCCTCTCGGGATCTTGGGCACGCACGCACACACGCCCGGCGTGAGTTTAAGCCACCGGGTCTGGGACTTGAACTATGGTCGGCTACATGGGAGTCCAGCGACATAGCCATTATGCTAACTGCTGCTCCTGTAAAGAATTTTAAAATTATCTTCTAAAAGGAAAAATAAAACGTAGCTAAGTATCATCTGTCTGAGAGTTTTGTTAGTGTTACATATGTTTAATAAAACTTAAATCAGCCTAATCTTCCCTCTAACGTGTATCCAAGCATTTTGAAAAGGAAACTGGCATTCTTTATTAGTTTTCTGAATATAATCCATTTTTAAGTACGATGAGAAAGCAGCTAGTTGCAGCTTGCATTAAAATGTATTATTCTCCCTTGGGGAGTATGAAACAGAATATTAAAATTCTAGATCAATCCAACCCCGATTTGGATTAACCAATGCAAATCAGTAACCTCGAACCAGCAGGAAAAATCATTTCAGTAACTTTACATTGTAAAGAAAACTAAGGGCAGTTCTTGCCTGAATTCAGTATTAAGAAATAACTAAACTTCTAAATAATGGATTATTTGTATCTGTGGGCATTATAAATTATGTAACTGGGAAGATTTTCCTCTCGGGTAATTTCTTGAAAGATTAGGAATAAATGTGTGATTGTCCCCATTCCAGGGGCCGGCTCAGGGCCCGGCTCACATTTCCTGTGTGGACAAAGAAGTGCTCACCCCTGCCTGTACAAAGCGGCCGTGTCCGAAGCACTGGC